CAAGTAGAGGTTCTTTTTTAATAAACATTTTTTTGTGTGATATGAGTTAACTTTTACGAGCAGATAGGTATTCCATTCAAACATTCATTTTGTTTTATGACACTGATTACAATCCCCGCATTGTATCATCACTCTTCTCATATCTCTCTGTGATACTTTTTTAAAAAAATGAGCCTTCTATACTCTCCCTCTTTATCTTCCGGGTTAGGCAAATGCTATCCTTGGGATCTGTGTTGTTTGAATGTTCTAAGTGGTGATTATCCCCTGGTGTTATTGTTCACCTTACATATCTGCCTTTAGTTTAGCTGAAACTTGTGCCACAGGGATGAGTTCATGTCTAGGCTCCAAGAGTGACTGGGGGGCATCATCCCACAGGTTCCACTAGTTATCATCAGGTTAGTAAGCTTGATCATTATGGAGATTTTATGTTTTTGTTCAACATATAGTTTGTACTTTATCCACGACCGTCTATTTTCCCCCCTCACAACCTTCTATTTTGATCCCTCAAAGAGCACTTCAAAGTGGTATCTGAGTACTATCTCATTCTTTTGGTCTCAGAGTTGTGAAAATTGAAAATCTCTGAATCCATTCTTCCTAAGGATTAGCAAACTGCCTCCATGTATCTTTGATTTTCTTCACTCTTCTTTGCTCCAAGACAGGGAAAGATCAATGGCTACACATTAGATTACCACCTACAAACTTTAAATTTCTTCTTGTTACTCACCAAAGTAGTAATACATTGTCCTTGGCAACTGTTATACCAATTGATTTTGATGTCTTCTGAAATTATAGTCCTGAGGCACCATGACCAGCAACATATTTCCTCAGGGTATTTATTTATGGTTGAGAATCTCACATAATAATCCTCCTTTGTTGGCTTTTCTAAGGAGCTTTAGTGTTTTGTGCTTCTAGCCAAATGCTGCTAACCAAAAGCTACTAGTTACTTTGTCGAAGATGGAAAATCTCCCATAATGTTTTACAGTCTTGGAAACCTGATAGAATGTCAATATAATTCGGAAACAACTCACTGGCTATGTGTTTGGTTTTGGTTTAAAGTGGGTCTACTGTGTATATATAAAAGATTTGTCCTGGAGGGGGTGAAGCCAGAATGTTCCCTGGAGTCAAGGGTTCTGAAGCTTCATCTGACATACTTTGGGCATGTTGCAAGGAGGAACTGGTCCTTGGAGAGGGACATCATGTTTGGGAGAGTGGAGCGCAGGAGAGGAAGACCCTCGATGAGATGGATTGATTCTGTGAGTGGAGTAGTGGGAATGAATGTGTTTGAGACAGCGAGGTTGGCACAGGATAGTACGGCCTATGAGTCGCAAATGACTCGATGGCACATAACAACAACAACAGATAGATAGCTAGATAGATGCATTTATAATCCCCAAGGCATGTGGTTCAAGGATGGTCAAGCTCCCATGCAATTTACTTTCTCTGACAAGGTGCTGGAGGGTCAGCTCTGAGTTGGTTTCCACTGGATGGCATGCAACAACAACAAATAAATATGCATGATGAACTATCATCCACCAAACTTAAGCATTATTATGGTACAGTCCTTATAACTTGCCTTTATTTAGTCATCTTGTCTGTCTGCATACATACCTATGCACTCATAGGTTACTGCTTGTTATTTAGAGTCCATTTTTTTTTTTTTGGGAAAATGTGTCTCAAACCTTGTCTTTTGAGTGACTGCGAATCTCTTATTTCTCTATGCCTTTTAATATCTCTTTTCTCTTTGTCCTATCTCCCCTTTCACTTAAAGGAAGTAGGCTCACTAGTACTTCCCTCCTGTTCACTCCATATTCCATGAAACTGTTCTATAACAAGTTTGCAATGTAACTTAAAATACATAAGTTACTGTATTTCGATCTACCTGCCTAAGAATATTCAAACTCAGTATTTTTAAGAAAACATTTTTAATACACAGCATTAATATAAATATTTAGTTATAGTATGTAAATTATAAAATATTAAACTTACAAGACACAGTAAAAACTATTATGTGAATTCAGCTAATGTTTTCATATCAATCAATTATCCTGTGCATCCTCAGGGTAAGCATTCCCAGTTGAAACTACTGTGCAGATAAGCTTCTGGTCTTCATCTGAAATCTAAGACAATTTTCCCCCTTTAAATCAGCTTGATGGATACTCTAAAGAGGAAAAAAAAAGGAAATTTAGAATAAGCTCAACCACTTTTGTCATTCTTGTGGCCTAGTGGTAAGAAACTGTGCTGCAACTCCAAAGGCATGAGGATGAAATCCACCAGGCGCTCTGCAGAAGAGCAGGCGATCTCCTCCCATGTGATTTGCTGTCCCTAAAAATCCACTAGAGGGTTAGCTATGGGTTGGTTCAGCCTCAATGGTACACTACTACAACAACAACAAACAAAAATTACATATCATTGTCATATAATAATTTAAATTTTCACAAAATAGACATGAAAAACTTCTACAGTCAGGATATGGACCAGGTCCATAACTCCTTTGTTCCTCTCTGCTGTCAATATTCTCCCCATATTCCAATAAAATCCAGATTTCAATAACTATTGTTGTTGTTATGTGCCCTCAAGTCAGCTATGACTAATAATGACCCTATGAACTCTGAACTCTGAATCTTTCCCTATCTTGAGCCAACCTCATTTTCTCAGATAAAACTGACCCTATTGCCAAAAGCACTGTGTCTCCCTGTTACTGAATGCAAGGGGTTCTTTCCGCAGTACTCAACTGCTAATAAGACGCACTGCATATCCATAAGCACTTTGTTACAGATCTGGGAGAAAGCAGTGAGATCCTTCTTAGAGACTGCCTCCCCCTCTGGGAGTGGTCATTAGGTTTTTATACTAGGATTAGACACCAACTCCTTCAACAATGCACATTTTTTAGTAATAGCAAAGAAGTTCTACATTTGAAAAAAAAACACACCAAAAACCACGACACAAAACCCACAAAAATTCACACACAGGTTCTAGTAAATAGGCAACCTACAAAATAGTTAACACATGACTGAGGAAAACAGGCTTTGAAAAGATAAAGGCTAACTCAGGAAAGGTGCACTCCCCTTCCTGGCAAACTAAGATACAATTTACATATGGCTGGGAAAAAGTTTCAAAGAGGTAGCCCATTCTAGGAGAGATACATTTCCTCTCCTTGTACACAGACATATTAAACCACTTTATATGACTAAAGAAAGGAACAAAAAATTCAAAGACAAAGTTAACTAGTTTTGCAGGCTTGAGAAAACTGATATCTGCTTTACAACTATAGTTTTAGAACTGATACATATTTAGAGAATTCTGAATTTATTAATACCATCAAATCCATCTCATCTAGGGTCCTTCTCTTCTGCACTGACCCACTACCTTTTCAAGAATGATGTTCTTCTCCTAGGACTGATCCTTTCTGGCAACATGCCCAAAATATATGTGACAGAGCTTTAAAATCCTTTCTGCCAAGGAGTAAACTGGTTTCACCCTCTCCAAGACAGATTTATTTATCCTCTTGGGAGTCCATGGCATGTTCAATTTTCTTATTCAGCACCACATCTAAAGAGTATCAATTACTTCAATAACTAGGGTCAACTTTGTCCTCAACCAGAAAAATTTTCATTTGTCTAAGGCAAGTCAGGAACAAATCTAGGTAAAGGTACTTCAGAAACTCACAATAGAGAACACTGAAGTGGAATAAGAGTGTGGCTTGAGAACTAAGGTTTTGACAGTAATGAAATTAAAAGAGTGAGGCTAAAGGGATTTGTTTTTCTGTGGGTTAATAATGGTGTAACATAAAATTAAAAAATCTTGATTTTGGCTTGAAAACTATGGTCTTGATAATGGAAATTAACTCTCTGCTCCTTGATGTTTTATAGGTAAAGGGAATGGAGATAAGAAACAATACCGTGGTGACAGAATTCATCCTACTTGGTCTGACTCAGTCCCAAGATATTCAGCTCCTGGTTTTTGTGCTGATTTTAATTTTCTACCTCATCATCCTGCCTGGAAATTTACTCATTATCTTCACTATCAGATCAGACCCTGGTCTCTCAGCTCCTCTTTATTTCTTCCTGGGTAACCTGGCCTTCCTGGATGCGTCTTATTCCTTCATTGTGGCTCCCAGGATGCTGATGGACTTTCTCTCTGAGAAGAAGGTGATTTCTTACAGAGGCTGCATCACTCAGCTCTTCTTCCTGCATTTTCTTGGAGGAGGAGAGGGGTTACTTCTTGTTGTGATGGCCATTGACCGCTACATTGCCATATGCAGGCCCTTACACTATTCAACTCTCATGAATCCTAAGTCCTGCTATATGTTACTATTGGCTTTGTGGTTTGGGGGCCTTGTTCACTCCATTATCCAAGTCATTCTCATCCTCCGGCTTCCTTTCTGTGGGCCAAACCAGCTAGATAACTTCTTCTGTGATGTTCCGCAGGTCATCAAGCTGGCTTGCACAGACACCTTCGTAGTGGAGCTCCTGATGGTCTTCAACAGTGGCTTGCTCACCCTCCTGTGTTTTCTAGGCCTTCTGGTCTCCTATGCAGTCATCCTCTGCCATGTACATAGATCCTCTTCTGAAGGAAAAAACAAGGCTCTATCCACATGCACAACTCATGTCATTATTATATTTCTCATGTTTGGACCTGCCATCTTTATCTACACTCGCCCGTTTAGGGCCTTGCCGGCTGATAAGGTGGTTTCCTTCTTTCACACTGTGATTTTCCCTTTGATGAATCCTGTTATTTATACTCTCCGCAACCAAGAGGTGAAATCTTCCATGAAGAGACTATTGCACAGGCACACATTCTGTTAAAAGAGGTTTTATAATAAGGCCTGATGAAAGGAGAATTCAAGCTATAAATCACTCATTAATTCACTTAGGAGATACTTCCTGTTGAATGCATCTCACTTGTCGGATACAATTATTATATTTGTGGAACTAAAGTAAAAAGAGAAGCTTAATATCAAGCAGTCAAAACAAGGCCAAAGGATGACCATGGAACAGACCATAAACTACTCATGTGTAAATAAGTAAAATAAAAGCTGAAGAAAATGTAAACAAATATATGAACACAAAATTACAAACTGGAGTCTTTCTTAAATGAATTGAAAAACCATTTCAAGAACAGATTTGAAACACTTAGCATTAACGATTGAAGTCCAAATAAGTTATGGGAAGACATCAAGGAAATCATCCATAAAGAAAGGAAAAAGTCATTGCAAAGGCAGAGGAGAAAGAAAGGACAAATTGGATGTCAGAAGAGAATCTGAAACTCATACTAGGGCCTAAATAATCCAAACAAAAGAAAGAAATATGAACAGAAGATTTCAAAGGACGACTTTGAAAGCTAACTGGAAGAAATTCTTATTTATGAACATTGAAAAAAAATGTGATCTAAGAGTGCAGAAATTATTGAACATTATTCATATCACATACAAGGGAAATCTTGCTGACAATTATTAAAAAACAACTGGAACAGTCAAATAACAGGGAACTTGCAGAAATTTAAGCTGGATTTAGAAGAAATCAAGGAATAAGGAATATAATTACTGATTTCAAACAGATCTTGAGTGAAAACAGAATGATGAAAATATATTTACTTGAGTAATATTGTTTATACAAAGAAATTTATTTGTGTGTATTATGATAAATTATGGATGACAGTGAAAAGAATGAGAATCCCAGAAACCTATAGCAAGAAGCAGTGTTCTGAAGGGAAAAAGGAAACATTATATGGTTTGAAATTAGGAAAAGTATGGAACAAGGTAGTATCCTTTAGCCATAGCTGTTAAATCTGTATGCTGAATGCATAATTTGAGAAACTGGCCATATGAAGAAGAGAGTATTATCAAGATTGGCAAAACTCTCAAGAACTTGTGTTATGCAGATACTACAACTATGCTTGCACAAAGTGAAGAAAGCTGAAGCACTAAGATGATAAAACCTATTACCTTCAATATGGATTACATCACAACATCCAGAAAACAAAAATCATCACAGACAACATCACAATAGAGGGGGAAATGTTTGAAATTGTCAATAATTTAATTATTCTTGGATTCACAATCAACATTCTGGGTACTAGCTGTCAACAAATCAAACCGTGTTTTGCATTGGGATAAGCAGTCAAAGATCTCTACACTGCGCTAAGAGCAAGGATGTCAGTTTAAAGACTAAGGTGCACCTGATTAATGTATCAGTATTTTCAGTTGCTTCCTATGCACCTGGAAGTTGGACAATGAATAAGGAACATTGAAGAAGAATCAACGTATTTGAATTGTTGTGTTGGTGAAGAGTGTGGAATATCCAATGGACTGCCAAAAGAACAAATATTTCTTTGGGGAAATGAAACCAGTGTGTTCCTTAGAGGCAAGGATGGGGAAAGATTTTCTCACAAATATTGAGTATGTTGCTAGCAGGGTGAAATCCTGTGGGAAAACTACATGATGTGTGGAAAAATGAGAATCATTAAAAGAGTGAAAATCTTCAGCAAAATGAAATGACACAGTGACTGTAACAATTGGCTTGAGAATGGTGGGGATTATGAAGATGTTACAGAATAGGGCAAAGTTTTGGTCTTTTGTCTATGGGTGGCTATAAATTTTTGTTGATACAAGGCATTTAATACATTTAATAACACTACTATTGATATCTGACAAATAGGAAATATGCACTATAATTTGCTAGCTCAATTAATGCTTTCCTAATGGAAGGGATTAATGTAATAGCTTTGTATTTGTTTGTTAATTGTAGCCATTGAGGAGCTTATAAATACATGAGAGAAAATCCCACAAATTCTTGAAGTATTTTAATAGAGCACTGGAAATTATACTGATTGGAGTATAATGAACAAGTGTGAGAGCACAAAAGATAAAATTTTATATTACTATGAATCACAGCAAATAACTTCTTTTCAGCTGTTATAAGGAATTATGTTCTAACTAAGGTAAGAGTCCATTTTAAGATTTAAACTGTGACTCTTCTACAGTGGATTGCTTTCTTATAGCTTAGAACAATGTGATCCAAATTCTGGACAGGGATCAATAAGCTGCAAACCTCATAAAAAGCAAGTGTCTTAGTGTCAGATACATTTTGAAAAAAATTTTTTTCTTATGAAAATTTTGGTAGTGGTGTAAGAAAGAAAGAGAATAGGTTTCATGGAGAAATGTTTGAAGTTATTTCATTTTTCTTATCAAAACTTTCTGTTACTACCAGTTTTTCTCATGTGTTCCCTGGATGTTAAAATTTCTGCAATTTTATTTTACCTTCATTATCATTGTGATAATGTTTTATATGCCAGAAATTACTCCACTTACTTTAAGTATAATAGGAAATTCAGTACTTAAATCTTATGAAAGAGACAGGTTCATTTGCTAAGCCGGGAATTAAAAAATTATTCCCATGACAAACTTGTAGAATTCATTTGCCAAGTGATAGTTCTCTGTAAGAATCATGAAACTTGGAAAACAATGAGTTATTTTGTCCATTTGGGTGTTACTAATTAGACATGATTTGAGATCAGAATAATCTGTGATTATTCTCATGTTAATTTTTTTGCATTTAAATTATTTTCTAAATTCAAGATTCACATGTATGTCTCTGACAGTCATAATATTGAAATGTAGGAACAAAGTATAGACTATCTGTTTATATATTTGTAGTTTCTTTGGGAAACACACTGGAAAAATATATGAGAAAGTTAGACATAGAGAGTAGGGAATGAATTGAGAACTCCTGTATTCAAGCTGCTTGAGCTGGCAGCTATGATCTCCTGCCACTCCAGAGACAAAAGAAGGCATTAGTCTCCAAAATAAAAGGTGATGAGAAACTGCTTGACTAGAGCACATGGTCTCACACTACTCAGCCGCTTCATATATGAAGGAGGCCTAGAGAGTTGGTGTTGGGGACTAATCAAGGTTAGATTTCTACAGGGCTTCAGTGCAGAACATAGAGGACTTAGGAAAAGCAAATTTTCCCAGAAAGGACTTACACCCACAGATTGAACCATTGGCTGAACATCCCATAGATTGAACATTTTAACTTGGCAGTTAATCAGTAACATCATAGAGACAAGAATCACCACCAACTTTTGCAGAGACAATAGAGATGACCCAACATTTAATCAAGAAAAACATCACATAATGTTGAGAAAGCAGCAGGCAGCGTCAAACACTATTAAAAACCAAATTAAGCTTTCTCCAAAAGAAGCAGATAATATTTCAGACCTCATGAGTACCCAGAGTCAAGAAGGCAGATGATATATGTTGATATGGAAACATTAGAATAGTTACAAATGAAAGTACAAATGATGGAAGAACCAATGAAAGCCATAAATAAAGAGACTAAGCAAGAAGTAGAGACTCAGAAAAAATATTAATGAAGAGTTATATGAACAGCTATGGAAGAACATGCAAATAATGGAGGAAGCAATAGAAAACACAGAAGTCAAGAGATGCAGAGACAGAAGAAATATATTGATGAAGAGAAACCTGAACAACTACGGAAGAAAATGCAAGATATGGAAGATAGAATTGAAAGTATAGATAAAGAGGTACAAGAACTTAAAAAAGTCATCACAAGATAGGGTACTGCCAACACATGACTAGAAATAACAGAAAGGCATGAAAATGCAGTCTAGAATACTAAGACTAAAATGGCAGAAGGGTGCAACACACTTGAAGGACAAAAAGGTAGAACAGAAGAAATGGAGCACAGAGTCAGTGAGCTGGAAGGCAAGAACTTCAATGGTGACATACTGGAAGAAAAATCAGAGATGAGACATAAAGAAAAAAGAAAACACAGAATCATGTGGGATGACATAAAAAAAAGAATAGCATACACATGATTGGAATTCCAAGATATGAGAGAGAATGGGAAATCACTGAGAAATTTGTGATAGTGGCACTACAAGAAAATATGCCAAGTATTATGAAGAACAAGCAAATTAACATTCAAGAAGCTCAGTGAACACCAACTGGATTAGATAAAAAAAGGAAAACATCAAGACATATCATAATCAAATTCTCCAAAATAGAAGATAAGGATAGAATATTAAAAGCAGAACAAGAAAAACAAAGAGTCAACTAGAAAGGAAAAGCAATTTGCTTAAGTTCTGATTTTTCAGCAGAAACCATGTGAGCAAGAAGGCAATGGGGTGGCATATACAGAAAGTTGAAAGAAAACAATTGCCAACCAAGGATCCCAAAGCTCTCCATCAAATATGAAGGAGAAATCTCATCCTTTCCAGAAAAGAAAGAACTTAAGGAATTTGTGTAAACAAGACCAAATCTACAAGAACTTTTAAAGGAAATCTGAGACACCAAAAAATATATACAAAACCAGGAGCAAATATCATTCTCAACAGAGAAAGGCTAAAAGCATTTTCTTTGTGAACAGAGACCTTAGACAAGGATGTCCACTATCACCACTTCTATTCAACATTGTGTTGGAAGTCCTTGCTAGGGCAATACAACAAGAGAAGGAAATAAAAGGCATCCAGATCATCAAAGAGATAATTAAACTGTTGCTATATGCAGATGATATGATGGTGTACATAGAAAATCCCAAGGACTCAACAAAAAACCTGTTAGAGCTAGTGGAAGAGTTTAGTAGAATGGCAGGATACAAGACCAATATACAAAAATCAGTGGGATTCCTCTACAGCAACAAAGAAAGCACAGAGAAGAAAACTAAAAAAGCAACACCATTTTACCACAAATTGAGATACCTGGGAGTGAGCATAACTAGAGACACAAAAGACCTATACAAAGAAAACTACAGAGCATTTCTGCAAGATAAAATAAAAGACCTAA